AAAAAAGTGAAATTGCGAAAATTGGAAGAGAATTTTTTCATATTTCGTAAGATGTGAGTTATGTAGCGTAAAATTAATAAAAAAATGAATAGAGGAAAATCTACTTTCCACATTTTCTTTGGCTACTGTAATCGTCACAAATAGCAAAAACTATAAAACTTTTTATAGAATTAAAAATTAGTTTGGTTTTGGGTTTAGAAAGCTATCCGTCTGTATATGTTGATTTAATGTCGGAGTTCATAGTGCTACCAGTGCGTGATTCTCCTATAATAATCAAACCCACCTCCACACCTCTCAATAAATTATGTGTTCGAACTTCGAACCCATGATGAGTCCTCAGAGCAAATGAGCTACAAGATCAACCTCAATAAAGTGTGGCTTAGGTATATAAAATCAGGGTTTAACAAAAACAGGGAAAAAAATGTTATAGAATGAAAAAGAGACACTAGTCTTCACTCTTGAATCACAATTGTACACAATTAATATGCAAATTCTTTTCCTAAAATTACAATCAGCTACTCCACATATTCATCTAAACATACAAATTAAGATTGCATATAAATGTATAAAACACAAACAAACCCCTGAAAATTTGTCTTAAGACTCGGAAACTTTGTAGATAACCACAAAGCAAGGAAGTATAGCCCTCGGATTAAACACAAGCAAGTCGTCAAGGTTTGTGTACACCCCAGCAGCCCCCGCAACAGAATCATAAGACCCAGACCCACTTTCCTCTTCCGTTGTAGGAGGCGCGTCACTCTGCACGCGCCTCACTCTCCCAGCGATGACGCGACAAACAAGCATCGCCCTCCGCTGGTCAAAGCATCTCAATGCATCGTGAGCTCTGCCGCTACTAGCGGTGGTCCTCACGCCCTTGGTCTCCTTAGGCCCACCGCATGCTTCGCCGTTCACATTGCCCAAACGCACCGTTTTGGCGTGGAAGCCATGTCGGATAATGGTGCATACGCGGCAACCAGGGACGGCGGAGCAGAGGGAGGTGGATCCTTGGGAGCCGAGTGAGCAGGAAACTGTGGTGCAGTGGAATCGAAGGAGCTCGTTGCCGTCTGCCGCGGAACGGGATTCTTTTCTGGTGGAGGCAAGTGCACGGGACTTGACTGCGTCGCGACAATCTTCGAACCGTTGGATCGTGCGCTGAGTGTTGTGGACTTTTAATATCCGTTCGATATTGTAAACGGGACTGTCCTTACGTAACCAGCTAGATTTGAAGATGATGTCCACTATGTTTCGTCCGGAATCCTCTGCCCCTAACTCCGACACTGTTATCAAACAGAACAATATTACAAAGAATCTTCTTTTTGATTAAAAAATTTACAGACTTTTTTTTTGTTTTTTGCTAAACTAAAAATTTCAAAGACTTCATATATTAATTTTGTCCATATAGAGATGATCCTTATTAATATTGGGAATTATAATGATTTTTACATTTGAAAGAATTACATGTTTTTATATTCCAATT